AAAAAAAATGAAATAACCATCTCCCTACCCACTCATTTTTTTAATTACATTTTTTCTTTTGAAGGTCATGTTACAGGTAAACATCTGAAGGGGTTGACATGTGTGTATTTATTACTCATCCAGACTTATTTAAACACCAGCAAAATTTATTTGCACATCAAATGGAAAACATCTGAAACCACAGTGACATGACTCATGATGTAAGAAGTGCCTGAGTTACTAAAGAAAATACAACATGAGGATTAGTGCCATTTGTCACCCACAACAGTGCTGGTCAAAGAAGAAAAAAAAAAACACTACACCCAAGTTACTGTACAAAATGTTAGCATTTTTATCTAAATACTCTGAAAAAAGATGCCWATAGCTCTTTTTATCACTTTCAAAAAGAACAAGAGAAATAAACAATAATCAGTTACACAAACATGTCATGTTTTAGAGAACAAATTTAACAAAGATATTTGTGTAGCAAAACAAGGCAGATTACATTTATAGTACTAAAATTAGTTMTTCACTATGAAGGTTCTTTAAACAGACAACAGGTACATAAACAAATCTCACGTGTAATAAATAATAATAATAAATTATAACTCATACAAAAAGGGTTGACACTTGAGTGCTACCAGTAGTGCAATTTTTTTCCATTTCCAGCAGACGATGGCTGTTTCCCCTCCACTAAAATCCACTAGACAACACACACACACACACACCAAAATATGACCAGTTGTGGTGTGTTAAAGGAGAACCAGGACTTCCCTCGTTACACCGTCACAGGAAATTCAAAGATGGACAGAATTTAGGTGCAATAACGTAAAGTGTCCCTTTCAAAAACTAATAAAGTTATAACATGCAAAGTGTTAATCTGCTAATGCTGGCTGGGTGGGCTACATTTGAAAATGTTCACAAGGTAAGAAAAACCTTTATATAAATGTGTAAAATTAAACGTCACAGCTTTTAACACTTAAAAATAAAAAAAGGTGACACGCCAAAAAATAATTGAACTAGAACTTGGAGTGAAGAAATCTGCAGCAAATCAGTGAGAAAAATACAAAAACACAAAGGTAACAGTCAGCAGGGTGCGTAGTCAAAAGGAGAACTTTTTTTTTGCAACAGGTGACGTCCGCAACAACGACTTTCCTTGATCCCGTGAAAAAGTTTGAACTACATTGGTTCTGATTGGGGGACGGAAGGAGGGAGGAGGGGGACATTAGCCTGCCTCAGAAATAAACCTTCAGTTGTTCTGTTCTTCCCCTTCTTTCCTCCCCTTGTTCCTGTCCACTCAGACCCAAACAGGACTGGTTTCAGTCGTTCCCTCATTACATCCCATCCGACAGCCACAAAAAAAGCAACGAATCGTGGTACAGTACAGGAGACTGTGCTGCTGATGTGATGGTGGCAGTGGAGGGTTCGAGGCTCCGGTGTTCAGGGCTCGCTCACAGTTCATACACGCTGCTTAGGAGCCTTCAGCTTGGGTTTCCTTTTCTTTCTCTGGAGAGTCCTGGCTTTTCTCTGCATCCTCCTCTTCTTCACCCCCACAACAAACAGAAAATGTGATCAGCTATAGGGATAACTCTGTCTCTTCTGCACATTAGAACACGCTGGTCTTTAATAGCTTTAATACCTCAGTGGKGGGCACAGTTCCGCTCAGCCGCTAACCACCTAGTAGTAAAACTAAGATTTTTAGAGGCTCCTCTTATAAATGGACCAAATGAATATGATCAATATTAGCGGTTTAGCTTTAGGTTCTGCCAACAGGGACCTTCACTCAGGCTATYTKTAGAACACGAGTCACGTGACTATGTCCRCTTGACTCTGATGCACGTACAAACTCTCGTAGCAGCTCCATTGATTTCACTGGAGCTACACCATTTTAGCTGTGTTTAAACTTAAATAAATTTGGCAAAACAGCATCGAACTACACTGGGAGGACCACAAAACATTACGCTACAGTTCTTATAATAGTGACTCAGGATACGGTCATTGTGCCCACATGGAAAGAGTATTTTTGATCACTTTTCCCAAGCTAAGATGCTAGGTCAACTGGTGTATTCAAACGATGGGATGAGCTGAATTTGACCACAAAAAAGTGCGACCATAGACTTAACGTCTGCTCCAAACGTTTTATCAGAGGTAAAAGACCAACACTGGACCGCCCGGATCCTATCCCTGCACTTTCTGTTGATAAACAGGTACACAGTAACATTATTATTTTTGCTGTAGCCTGCTGCTAGCTTTACTCCTAGCATCCATACTAGCCTCTTACAGTGACCTCCTGCAGTCAGTCACACATACGATAATATAACACTGACAGAAATGCTAAACATCCCCATTTAATTTGTTTAAACGTTGCAGAAGCGGTGGCTTGAGTGATTCCTCGGGCTCATTCTTCAGATATTCACACAAGCACACAACACTCATGGCTTCAGATACACACACACACACACACACACACCCTAACTCACTTACTCCTCTGGCTAATAAATGTGCTCTATGAAGAGTTTTTTTTATAAACACCAGTGTGTCACATAGTTCATATAATTTGTTTTTTTCTCATCTTCCCTTGTGTGGTTTTTAGTTTTTCTGTTGTTAAAGGTAGCACAACTGTATTTGCTGCATGACYGGTTTCACCTTCCCCACCATGTTTGCCTTGTATGTCTTCTTGAATGGGTGTTTCTTAACTGCCCCCTCCCCCTTTCCCTGAATGTACAGSACCTTGTGAATTTATTTCTGTGAAAGGCGCTATATAAATAAAACTTTACTTTAAGTAAATTTTACTATACGACACAAACACCAAACCTTTTTAATAGTTCCTCTTGCTTTCCCAGTCGAATACCATGACCCACCAGCCAACCTTCCAACTGAACTTTCCTGTGATTCCTGATGTCGGATGTGTTGAAATTTGCTCGAAAAATGCCTTTTTGTGTTACGATATTAACACCGATTCTCCACAGTCCGTCTGTCCGATCTTTTGAGCGARCAGCGGATAATGTATACAAATCATATGCGTGACGTCATGAGGGAAGGTCCCTATTTTATGTTTATTTAGTTTTTTTATCATTAGCAGCTGCAAGACTTCATTGTGTCGTGGTTTAGATGTGAAGCTGATATTTTGGTGAGCTGTGCCCACCACTGTTATCCAAGTGAGTTTGGAAGCCTGTTAATGCCTGAGTGATTGACAGGTCAAAGATCAATATCCTAATAAACAAAACAAACAAAAAAACACATCTCTCCTCCCACAGAGGCGTCTCACCAGATTTGTTGATGTTGAGCTGAGCCAGGGTCTCCGACAGGTCGGCGGCCCCCGGCGCTCCTGCGCTTCCTGGAAGATCATGGATGGCGTTCCTGCGGCCGGATCGTCCAGACGCGATGAAGTCCTCGTAGGTCGCCTCCACATCCGTCATCGCTGCCACGCCTCAGCATAGCATCACTTTTCACACACGGCAAACACTGTACGCTCTGGTGCACACAGACACACACACAGACACACACACCGCATCTATATGAAAAATAAACTRGTCCAAGCTGTTATAAGTGGCTCTGTGCAACAGCTCATCGGTGCACACTGCAAGTTGTCATTCAACACATCCGTCCCCTCAATGATTTTACCACCTAATCCCTGATTAATCTATTTTAATCTAAGTGCAGGGCACAMGAGAGACCGAGAAGATAAATAATAAGGAGGGCAAACAAAGAAGAGGACCGACGCAGACAGCGACCAACAATGCACACTGAAAAAAGGGGGGTAATTATGGGACAAAGGAGGAGAGCACTGTCAGCTCRCTCACAGGAAAAGCAACGCGGACTGGATTGGGAGCTGAGATTTAGGTTAAACCCCTTCGCTCCACATTCTAGCTCTCTGGAACAGTTTGGCTGGATGAAGGTTGCCCTTCAGCAAAGAGCCGGCTCGGGCTTTGTCGTCCCATTTCCACTAATTAAAACCCGTCAATCTGAGAGTTCCCCTTCACAGTCTGGAATACTCACGATTTAAAACAGAAACAATTAAAGGTAGTCAACGCAAAGCCATGAGGACTGCTCCCTTAATGATTATTAAAGTAAGAAACATAATCCAAACAATGAGTTTTTCTCTTTAATGACAATTAATGTGGTTTTAAATTAGATATTTGAAATCAAAAATGTGATTTATTATTACAAATTAATGGCAGCTTGAGTATGGGATCAATCTTGTGCCAGCAGGGATTAAATTTGAATTGCTCAGATTGAATCTGAATGTGCAAAATTTCAAATTGAATGCATTGGTTTGAAAATGAATTTTACTGAATTGAAACTGAATTTAATGATTTGAAACTGAATTTCATGTTTTTAATTTGAATTAATTTGCTTAGAAACTGTATTTTGGTTTATTAAAAATTCAGTTTGACTACTTTCACTGTCAGTTCCATAATTCAGATTTTTGTGTCCCACATCCTGGTCCTTGAGAAAGCCAGGCAGAGTAATCAAACACAGATCCACAGATTTATGTTTCACTTTGGTGAAGTTTCCCTTCTGTATGTAACAGAGTTGATGCAATCCACTGTAAAAGTGACAAAAACAAAGTTATTTTATTGCAGTGATTAATTTTACCTATATGTAGAAAATGTTACATTTACATCACATCATGGATCAGTCAGCAGCAGCGTCTGATCAATATGTGATCCATGATGTGATGTAAATGTAACATTTTCTACATATAGGTCAAATGAATCAATGCAATAAAATAACTTTGTCTGTTTTTGTCACTTTTACGGTGAATTGCATCAACTCTGTTACATMCAGAAGGGAAACTTCACCAAAGTGAAACATAAATCTGTGGATCTGTGTTTGATTACTCTGCCTGGCTTTCTCAAGGACCAATTGAATTATGGAACTGAAAGTGAAAGTAGTCAAACCGAATTTTTACTAAACCAAAATACAGTTTCAAAGCATTAAATTCATTTTCAAACCATTAAATTCAGTTTCAATTTAGTGAAATTTATTTTCAAACCAGTGCATTAAATTTCAAATTATGCACATTCAGATTCAATCTGAGCAATTCAAATTCAATTCCTGCTGGCACAAGATTAATCCCATACATGAGGCAATATTTATCATCTGCCCTGTTCAAGATGGCGTCCACATCAGTTTGACCTTAGAGAAGACAAAAATATATATATTTCAGTCAGTTTTACAGATGTTTTGTTAAAACCTGGTGTGGTAGCAGCTGAGAGTGTTGCCTGAGAACTTCATTATTTCCCGATACATCATTAGAAACTGGTTGCTTTTGACTCCGTTTGTTTTGAAATAGTCAAATTTCTGCATCAACTTTGCATCTTTTTGGCTTCTACTGAGCTTAGCTAACGCACTTTAAATKTATTCTCTATCAGTTGAGAAAAAAAACTTCATGTTTTAATTCATACTTTGCACCGAGTACCTTTAAGCTTTCCTGTGCCCCTTAGACACTGAAAGGATAGTTCATGTTTCTTCCAGTTTAGAGGCAAAAACAAGTAAATAAGCTCAACTCTCACATCGCCTTGTGGCTATATTCACAAGCGTGCACGCTGTGATCGACCAAGGCCATTTTTGGACGACTCGTCTGTCATCGCTCGAGCRCACTCCCACTCAGCTGTCATTCTTGAAATTGTGTCAATTGGCAAAGACCTAACAGATGCTGGCATGTCCGAGTGACGGAGCGGACAGAGGGAAACAGGAGACGCAGCACAGAGACTGCAGGACCGCTCGCTCTGTCAAGTCTGACTTTATTATTATTATTTTTATTCAAAGGTAAATGGATCATTTTCAAACTTATATGCCTATAAAAACAAAAATGTGATTTCTATTAAAAGGTTCTCACTGCAAAGCAAGAAATTGAACATAAAAAAACCTTATCCTGAACTTCATCAAAACGTGCAGTTTGATAGCAGTAGTGAAACGCAGGTCCACACTCAATGTAAACAAAGCACCTTTCTTAAAACTGCTAAACAAGCATGTAGAAGTCATGTGACTGTTAAGCTGCCTGTGGWCTGCAAACAACTATAGCTAATTTGACCTATTTTCAGTCGACGTAAATGTTTGCAAATAGCTATATAAGGACATCAAATATGTGCAGTGAAAACAGAAGCATAATTACCAAAACATAGTCTAGTCTTGATTTGATTCATATTTGTTGTTACTGGATTTTTTTTTTTTATTCTAGGAAATATGATTTTGAGGCCCAGTTGGCCTGGATACCAACCAGGGGGTTGTTCTGGCTTCTCTGACAACACTAAATCATGTTTTTTTTTTCTTTTTTAAAATCTTTTGATTTGCTGTGCAGCCAAACAGAAAATATGGTAGTTGCAAAAATGGAGTCCTAGTAACTTCTTCAAGGCATCAGAGCACAGTGGGCACACCTGTTCCCTATATGCASTTTTCTTTAAAGCTAAATAAACTTATATTTTATTAATTACACTTGCATTYAATGGTACTACACTGTTTCATTGCCAAGAAAAATAAATTATACTAGCTTCTTCTTCTTGTCATCTAATAAAACTTCCACATAATTTCGACTTTAGGATTTAAAAATAAAGAAATCTTCCGTGGCGGCGGCGCTACAGCGCGTCATTATTTTTGTTCGCATCGTTTGGGGCTTCACGATCTTACAAAGACCGTCATATTTAACATAAACACGCAGTAAAGCGGCCACATATGTCTGTTGTTTATGACAAAGACCCCAGAGAAGATAGGTCAGAGCCCGTGAACAGCCCGCGCGACGTTCTGCATGCACTCATAACGCGCGCGCGCTCTCTGCACCCCGTGCACCACGTCGTCATCATCAGAAAAAGTACCTGCTTTGGGTTAAACAGCTTCCAGGTGTTCACAACTGTCAGTCACATCAGCTTGAATCCTGCCACTCCGGTGCTTGTCCACAGCGTTCTTCGAGCGGCAATGAAAACAATTGTACTTCCGGTATAAATTTTCAAAATAAAATAGT